AAGTGGGAGACCAGTTCCCTTATTTATTAATTACAGTCCCTTCACCTGTAGTACCAAATGTCCTTGAGAAAATGGCTTGCCTTTTAGGTAGGTCTTCTGTGTTCATGTCTGTGAAGCTGGCATCCTAAATACTCACCACTTAGCTAATGCGAGCACCTAATGAAGTTGAAGGCACCAAGCACATACTTGATGTGGGGGAGGAGGCATGGAGTGACTTTCATCTTGACTCACTCAGCCAACAATGTGCTACTTAGAATTGCAGCTTGTTATAAAGTAGCAGAAATTGGTCCCTACTAGATCAACTGGCCCCAAACCCTTGCTGCCCCTTGCTGTATCCTCAGTGCATGTGCAATACAGTTAATCATAATTGTCAGCAGAATGAAAGGAAGATATCAACCAACTACAGGAAGGCCCGTAGCCTGGCCCTGCCCTCCTAGCCTGCTATACTCTTACCCTTCTACCCTCCCAGGGACCCACAGACCAGAGGGCTTCCTCAGGAGAACCTGACACTGAAGATCTTAAAATACTGTGAGAGTTGAGAATTAGTGAACTCATACTATGGACAAAAACTAGAAACTGTTTACCAAACATTGATTTATTATAAATTTTTACCTCCAAAGTATATAAAAAGATATAAATCAGCAGTTTCTCTTCCAGAGGAAATGGTGCAAACCTCTAAATAGCAAGTGTGACAAGTGAATCATCTCTGCTAAGGTCTGGAGTGTTTTCTTCCTGCCCTGTCTATGCTTTGCTGACTGTTTACTGTGTAGGTCTCCTTTCTCCCAGACTGGTTCCCTCTGGAATTCCCCTCTAACACCTTCTAGAAATTCCTGCTGCTGTTTACTTCCAAACTAGAAAAGAATGGCTCCTTGCTCAGTGTGTGTTCTCTACCCTGGTGTATTAAACACCTCTGTATTTCACACTGCTCCTGACAAGGGAGGGGATAGCATATTAACTCCCATTATCAGGAGAGAATTTTCTTACTGAAATCTGAGAGATAGAAAATAGATCTGAGAGACAAAATAGATTCTTTGGTAAGCATCAGCATAGATGTCTTTACACCACAGGTACCTCTCCACTAGTGCTCCCACCATAGAGCTATGACTGGAAAGGACTTACCTTTAGCACACCCAGTAGCTCACTGGCTACTACAGCAGCAGTGTCACATTTTACTGTAGTTATCATTTATCTGTCTTCTTTCCATACTATATTCCCAGAGTCAGCAGCAGTTCTTTATTTTTTTTTCTTTTTGACAGTACTAGGATTTGAACTTGGAGCCTCAGACTTGCTAAGCAGGCACAGTACCTCTTGAGCCACTCCACCAACCCTTTTAGCTTTGGTTATTTTTTTCGAATAATATCTCACATTGAAGTGTGGACTGGCCTGGACCATGATCCTCCTGTTTATGCTCCCTGAATAGCTGGAATGACAGGCACGCACCCCCATGCACAGTTTTTATTGGTTGTGATGGGATCTCTCAACTTTTTGCCCAGGTTGGCCTGGAACTGCATCTGCCCAGTCTCTACCTCCCAAACCTGATATCAGCCTCCTGGGTAGCTAGGATTACAGGGCTGAGTCACTGCACCCAGCAACATTCCTTATTCTGCTTCAGCACTTAGCTCAGAGTGTCACACACAGATTGTCCCAGGAACAAAGGATCCTCCACGTATGTGTTACAGAGCACAGGCTTCCCTGTCCATATAACTTGAAATGTGCGTTCCTTCAGCCTTGTATGTATTTTATAGCTGAAAGGTGCGTAATTATTTAATGTTTGGCAATGCTTTCTCCTGGAAGATGCTTCTGAGAATAATAGTGAGATCTGTTGTTTCTCACAGCAGACTTTCCAAGTAAAACTAAAATTAGTGATGAGTGTTGGAATCATTGCCAGTGAACATATGAAAGAAGGCATACTCATTCAGCTAATTTTGGGCTATCAAAAACGGTCTGCCAGGCCTCCTGGGCAAATGAGGAGTTGAGCGTGACATCTGCCATTTGCAAGTGTCTTTCTTGAGACAGTCTTCCCACATGCATCCTTTCATTTAATCCTCACTCAATATCTTGAAGAAGTTCATTTTATAAGTAGGAAATTATGACTCTGTGAGGTTAAATACCCTCCTAGCTGTCAAAGCTAATGAACTGCAGACTAGGGCTAGAAGTCATTTAAACTTGTCTGCCAAATGCCCCACCCCATCCCAGCTTCCACTGCATTTTGATTGTGTGTGAGCATGTGTGCATGTGTGGTGTGAGTGCTGTGCGTGCATGAGTGGTGTGAGTGCACGTGTGTGTACGTGTGTGTGTGAGTAGTGTACATGTGCCTGTGAGTGTGCATGCATGTGAGAGCTGCTGCTTGATGCCATTTTTTTATTCTCTATCTTGCATGCTGTTAATGCCCTTCCCTTGTCTTCATTACAGGGTTCATTATAGTGCTGCATTTTTTTCTTTCTCCTTTTCCTCAATGATGGCAAGATTGGCCAGTTCTTTGATACTGAGCTCTGACAACCACTATCCTTCCTTGAAAAAATCCTTGCTTCTTTATGTCTTTCATTTGACTTGATATCAAAGCTGAAAAAGGTTACTGATGACGGTATGAACCTTTTCAGTATGCAAATTTGTAATAGCACAAATGACTTTATATCAGCATAATAGAGTTCTTAACTATTCATTTTTATTACTGCCTGCTCAATATGTCAAGCTGTAAACTGGGATATTTTAATTTACAGGAATGACTCAGATCTTGAAGAATGAAATGTGAAAATGCCAAATTCCAAAGTACAGTCCCTGCCAGTAGGCTGTAGACTTCTTGAGGACTGGAACTATAATCTACATAAAGTTTCTGTTCAAGGCTGCCTGTAGCAGGCCATCCATGAGTAATGAAGACATAGTAAACTTGCAGTGATTACCATGGTTTTCTTAGAACAGGAAATGGATAAATGCTGTTAGACTAACTTAAGAATCTAGTACACTTAAGAAGCATGTTGGATTTCTTTAGTTTTAAATAAGTATAGACAAAAAATGGTGTTCTCTGATTTATACATATGATTCAATCTACATGTATTTAATTACTATAAAATAATTACTAGGGCAGTTACTGATAAATGCTATGAAGAAAAACATGACAAAATTTAAATGAATGAATAGATGTTAAATATTTTAAGAGCCATTGATAGAAACATTGAAAATTCCAGGTATTTTTAGTACTGTATCTGATGATTGACATCACATAAATGGTGTTTTTTGTTTTGTTTTGTCTTTTATCTGTGCTGGAAATCAAACTCTAGGGCTAGGCGAGTACTCTAACATTAAACTAAATCCTTACCCATTTTCCTTTTTTAAAACTCTTATTGCATGTTTTAAACTAATTCTCAGATGAAGACTTTTTTTTTATTCATATGTACATACAATGTTTGGGTCATTTCTCCCCCCTTCTTCCCACCCGTTCCCTTAACCACCCCACCCCCTTCCTTTCCCCCCTTACCCCCTCGCTTTCAGGCAGAAACTATTTTGCCCTTATGTCTAATTTTGTTGAAGAGAGAGTATAAGCAATAATAGGAAGGAACAAGGGTTTTTGCTAGTTGAGATAAGGATAGCTATACAGGGAGTTGACTCACATTAATTTCCTGTGCGTGTGTGTTACCTTCTAGGTTAATTCTTCTTGAACTAACCTTTTCTCTAGTTCCTGGTCCCCTTCTCCTATTGGCCTCTGTTGCTTTAAAGTATCTGCATTAGTTTCTCTGTGTTGAGGGCAACAAATGCTATCTGGTTTTTTGGGTGTTTACCTATCCTCATACCTCCCTTGTGTGCTCTCACTTTATCATGTGATCAAAGTCCAATCCCCTTGTTGTATTTGCCCTTGATCTAATGTCCACATATGAGGGAGAACATACGATTTTTGGTCTTTTGGGCCAGGCTAACCTCACTCAGAATGATGTTCTCCAATTCCATCCATTTACCAGCGAATGATAACATTTCGTTCTTCTTCATGGCTGCATAAAATTCCATTGTGTATAGATACCACATTTTCTTAATCCATTCGTCAGTGGTGGGGCATCTGGGCTGTTTCCATAACTTGGCTGTTGTGAATAGTGCCACAATAAACATGGGTGTGCAGGTGCCTCTGGAGTAACCTGAGTCACATTCTTTTGGGTATATCCCCAAGAGCAGTATTGCTGGATCATATGGTAGATCTATGTTTAGATTTTTAAAGAGCCTCCAAATTTTTTTCCAGAGTGGTTGTACTAGTTTACATTCCCACCAGCGGTGTAAAAGGGTTCCTTTTTCCCCGAATCCTCGCCAACACCTGTTGTTAGTGGTGTTGCTAATGATGGCTATTCTAATGGGTGAGGTGGAATCTTAGTGTGGTTTTAATTTGCATTTCCTTTATTGCTAGGGATGGTGAGCATTTTTTCATGTGTTTTTTGACCATTTGAATTTCTTCTTTTGAGAAAGTTCTGTTTAGTTCACTTGCCCATTTCTTTATTGGTTCATTAATTTTGGGAGAATTTACTTTTTTTTGAGTTCCCTATATATTCTGGTTATCAGTCCTTTGTCTGATGTGTAGCTGGCAGATATTTTCAGATGAAGACATTTTGACTGGAATGTTGGAGCTGTCTGTAAAATCAAGTGGAACATTTTGTTAAAACAATAACCAAAAGTATGATTTAAAACATAGATCATATGAACACACAAGACATTCTTTTCAATTGCTTTTCACAGTGAAACAAACCTGGCTCAGTATTGTCTCAAGGTTCAAGTTCAGTGTTGTACTGGCCTAACTACACTTAGAACATAATACTACTCATAGTCTTGTTTAAACTGTTGTATGGAAACGCACAGTTTTTACCATTTTTCACCTACACATGCAAACTTGAGCCGTGGGAAGTCAGACAGAAAAGCATTTTGAATCATCACGTGAGCCAGTTTTTAGAAGTGCCTTGTGTACAAGTGCAGGAGGGTGCCTGCTTGTCACGTGTAATCTCATGTCTGATGTTCTCTTTTTGCAGATGATCCAGTCCCTCAAGGCATTGATTGAAAATGCAGATGCTGTATATGAAAAGATTGTGCATTGTCAGAAGGCAGGTAAGTGAAAGTTTCTTTCCTTTAGAATTCATACCATCTTATGTTTTTTCTCAAAACTATGTTATCTTTTGATACTTTGTCAAGAAAAAAAGAATTATTTTTCCATGGCAAAAGAAAACAGTAACTCAGTGGTTCTCAATCCTAGATAACAAACTCACTTTGGGGGAAGAGCTTCCAATATACATCAAAATTGGCTTGGGATATTGGCTGGGAATTAACAGCTATTAAAAATTCCCAAGGAGAACTGAGCACAGTGGCACAATTTGTAATCCTAGCACTTGGGAGGCTGAGATAGGAGGATCCTTAGTTCAATGGCAGCTTGGTATGCATTGCAAGACTGTATATCAAAAAATAATTAAAAAAATAAAACAAAAATTCCTAGGCATTTCTAATGTGTAGACAAGCTTAGATCCTCCACACTAACTCTTCCTCAGTGTTGCCTGTGCTGCCAGATCTCTGCCAGTGACCCATGACTTTGTAAAATGCAAGAGGATGGTCAGGCTTGAGCAGAAAAAGAGCAGTTTCTTAGAAAAGAGAACGGGTAACAGTTACAACTTTTTAATGCACTGCTATTTTCAAGTGCTGATGAATACTGATTTAATATCCAAATGTTGTACTATGTTATAAAATTCTGCTTATATAAACAACCATGCACAGATGCTCCCTGGGTTATGTCCCAATAAACCTATTGTAGGTTGAAAATATAATGTAGTGAAAATATTCTTCATTCACCTAACCTACTAAAGAGCATAGCGTAACGTGAGCTACAGAGCATTTGTTGTTGGCCCTCATGAGCACATGGCTGCCTGGGAGCTCTCACATACTGCTATAGTTAACTTTAAGTGTAATAAAATCAAGAAATCAAATGTTCTGCATTGTTACAAAAATACATAAAGAGTGCTTTCACTTCTCCAATTTTGAGTGTCAGTTTGTAATAGCCTAATATGGAGAATATTTGTAAGACTTAAATAAGGCTATCTGCCCTTGCTTTCTAAGGTTTTTTTGGTTGCTGCCTTTAAAATCAAGAGACTATAACTCTTGCTATGATGGAAAAAAAAGTCTCATTTCAGAAATGGACTAGCTTAAAGTAGATTGAAGATAATGACATGTGTGACCATTTTCTATTTCGGTATTTATTGAAGGAATATTCAGTAAATGAGTTTATTGACTAATCAACAAACTCCAAAATCCTCATCTTTCTCATCTTGTCAACAAAAGACTGTGAGCAAAATGATTGTTTTACTTCTAGTCCTTCCCAAGATAAGTTCCCCACAATCTACACCATTCAGACGGTATTTATACCGTATCACTGCCCAACACATAATCACCCAGTGGCTTACCATGGTCTCGAGAATCAAACTGAAGTCTTAACTTTACATGTGAGGTTGTCAACCATCTGGCCTATGATTTTGCCAGTATTACATAAAATTTATTAATTATATCATTTGTTCATTTAACAAATATATTTTGAACTTCTATAAGTGTGCAGTACTGGGTAGCTCTGACATACCAAAATATAAAAAAAAGTAAGTCTAGTTTTTGCCTTCTAGAAGGTTCTACTTCAAATCCTCCAGGAGATATGAAAGTAAGCACAGTCAAAATATTGAGTACTTGCTGTGTGTTACTCAATAGTCTCAGCTCTGTTTGTGATGCAGTGGGAAGCCACTGATTTTTTAGCAGAACGGGAGGTGTGTGAGCTGCAAGGTAATGGGCATAATAGGTATGTGCAAAGTTTTTAAAGTCTGGTTCAGACTGGGAAGCTGTTGGCAATAGTTAAGAAGGTGCTAATAGGAGTAGCGAGGAAGGAAAGGAAGTGAGGGTATGCCACCCACATCCCGATTGCTCCTTGCCCTTCCCATTTCCTATGTATTCTGCCTTCTCCCTCCAGTAAGATGACATCTCTCCATCCTGCGCCAATCTGTCGAACTTTTCCATTGTTTTGTTTTTTGACGATACTGGGGTTTGAACTCAGGACCCCATGCTTGCTAGGCAGTTACTCTACCACTTGAGTCATGCCACCAGCCCCTTTTCTTTATTTTAATTGTCTCAGTCTTCCAAAAGGCCTTTCATGATTCCAGGATTCGTGTTACTAAACCATTCTGTTCAGCCCTTTAAACCATTTAGTTGATAGAGCTTCTTCAGTTACTGTGTATTTTATTAATGTATTCCATCTTCTAAACAGGATGATAATTTCCTATGGCACCAAGATTGTACATTAAGCTGCTGCTCTGTATCTTACTCATGACATCTGTTCTAACATTCTGTGCAGTGTAATGGCTTGAATATTAACTAACTAAATGTGATTTGACTTTTATTAAGTATTCTATTAAATAAATATATGAGAATTATGGACTTTGTGGAACTTTAAAGAAAGAACTGTTTATCAGAGAAAAGAACTGTTCATTAATTCAACTATTTGAGTTACTGTTAATTCTTTGCAAATTCATTGGTTTATGAAATGTGATAATTTATGGCATAATATGGCTTTATGTTGATCTATTTGATTTTAGTAAGGAAATGTGTTTGCTTATGCTTAAAAAGCTAAAGACTCTTTTCTATTAGGGATTTTGGGGTAAGTGGGTTGGGTTAGAGAATTGCCCACTGTGTTGATGGCCAGGTGCCCCAGGCTTAATGGTGTTTAGAAGCATGTCAGGATTACCTTTTGGTTTCCAAGTTACTGCTGAAGTCTACACAGGGCTCCTGTTATCTTGAGTACTTGTTTTAGTGTCCCTTGGTCTTTTGTTTTTCATGTTTACAATCATTGTAAAGACTTAAGGTCATTAGTCATATGAATAATTGCTAATTTGCATTGGACTTAAAAGACATTTGGGTAAGATTTTACTGTTTATAAGTCATTTTTATTTTGCTCGCAGAATTTTAATCTTTTAAAGGAAGATACTATAGATCACCAAAGTGCTGCAAGAAAGAATTATTTTAAAAGTATTTCAAACTTTTATTAAAGTATTTAAGTTTTTAATGTATCTGCCTGAGAAGCTGGCAAGTGAAGACTTCCAGCCAGCCTAGGTTCCTCCTAGCCTGTGTGCCCCAGGAGGGAGAGGGCCCCTAGGAGCCTGGAGAGAATATGGAAAAAGCTCAGTGGTGACAGCCAAGGCAGCTGTGTAGTCCACTCTTCAGAAAGAAGATGGTGGCACAGAGAATTGAGGGGTGAAGGGGAATTTCAATAAGAAAATGTCTTCCTAGGAATACGAAGGATCTAGTGCAATTGAGCAACGAGGCTGAGGCTATAGGTGGAAGAAGTGAGGAGGGCAAGAATGAAGCACAGCGTGGAGTACATTACCTCAGGAAGGCCACTCCCCCTCCCCCCCCACCCCGAGATAGTAAGAAAGCTGTGACATTTACAGAAATTGAGGCAGAGAGGAATGCATTCCACTGGGGAGATGGACAAGGAAGTAATGCCTTGGGAGAACCCCAGCTCTGGGGTGAGGAGGTCAGAGGATCCAGGACCTGGACAAACCTGTAGGGCATTTATTCGGAGTTGGATCAACAGTGCCACCCAAAGGGATTGATGCAGGGTGAGTGGGGTGAGCAATCTGGGCCACTCTGGGAATAAGATGGTTAAGTAATCAATGGCACAGTTGTCTAACAATGAGTATGTATAAATTGAAATGCCCAGGTGAACACAGAGACATTACCCAGTAGGTAACAGGTAAGGAACACACATAGGGGAGCTGAACAGGAACCTGAAAGGAAGAAGCACCATAACAGTTCATTTTATAAAAATGTATAAAGGTTGGTACAATTTGCTAAATTCTTTCAGGGGAAAAATCTTTGCTGCTTTCTCTCTCTTCCAGTGGCCAAAACCATAGGCTCCCTTTGAATTATAGTTTTCCTCAGCACTGAATTTTGATGTGCTTCATAAGGGATAGGAGATGATCTGGAAGGAAACCCAAACCAGTTTGCTTCAGTGAGCTGTGTGTTTTCTGGTTTTTGAGACAGTCTCACTATATCACCCAGGCTGACCTCAAAGTCACAATCCACCTGGCTATGCTGGGATTACAGGTGTGTGCCACCACGCTACCCAGCCTGAGCTGGGTGTTTTTATCAGGTGTTTTCAAATGGAAAATAAATTGTTCTCTGCAATGACATACTTCCTGCTAATGAATTAACGCAGGCATTCAACTTCTCCCTTCTGAAACCTCATTAAAATGTCAGGAAGGGATTTTTTTTTTAAAGCACAAATCCGTAAGGATAAAGAGTGGGAACAACAGTTTTGGAAACTGAAAACCAGCTGAATAAGTGATAATTGACTGGATAAGAGATAATTGACTTATCTGTGGGTCAGGAAATGGCCTGGGCAAGTGGTGCAATAGAGGTGGGTGGGGGCTGATAAGCCATCTGATTACCTGCAGACCACCCACTCAGAACTTTATGGGGCCAGGTAACTGCAGATATTGCGGTAAGATAGTATTAAAAGACAACTGTTGAAAGCTAGATTAGGAGAAAGCATTAGCCCCCTGTATACTGACAGTGGCAAAGTTAACAAGAGCAAGTCTCATCCTTTACATGGGGAATTTAATAAGTATAATAAGCAATGCTTGAAAACAATCTAATTTAACAACCTAAGCATGTTACTTAGAAATATGGACATAGGCTGGATGCATGATTCAAATGGTATCACACTTGCCCAGCAAATGCCAAGCCCTGAGTTTACACCCTAGTACCACCCCCCCCCCAAAAAAAAACCACCAAATTTTAAGAAAAGATGGAAGGAATGAGGACAGAAACTGTCTTGGGAGCTGAGGATGTCCCTGGAATTGTGGCCATATCCACAGGTCTCAGAACAGATGGCTTGCAGAAGGTCTCGGTACTGCCAGAGCAGAGCTGATAGTTGGGTGCTGGGTGGTGGGAGCCTGGCTCCTCTTTTCCAGGGTATTTGGTTCTGTTCCTTTGGAATAACTGTGACCAAGGAGAAAACCCAGCCCACTCCAGGCCTCTGTAAATTGAACCTCTTTTTCTAAAAGCTCTGAGAAATTCTCCCA